AGCCTAGATAAATACGAGTTTGACATGTATGTACATACGAACGTAAGTACAAACGAAGACGAAAAGGACAAAATGAAATGTGCAAATCATACCGTATGAAGGAGTTACTTTGGCAAACATTTTAACATACATATATAAATAAAATCAGGCACTTTCAGACAATTGTCAACATATTGAAATGCGGGCTGGCTGCAACATCCCCGGAACCGTGAATCAACCCGATTCACCATTTTCAATGTCCAGGATCGTCAGCTTGGATACTGCGCGTTGCTTCACACCACCAGCTGCTCGAAAGTCAACTCGCCTGACTTCGCCCTCACGCCCAGGGGGGAAGGTACTCCGCTATCCACCTTTTCCAAAAGTGGTCTCTCAATTGGCGGGCAATCCGCCACTGCTGGCGCAAACACAAAGTTTTTCGAGGTCGTTGTCTGGGATAGGAGTCTGCGCGGTATTTGGCTCACCTAAGAGAAAGTCGTTAGGAGTCAAAGGCTGCTCTTGGTTTACGTCTATGGGCAAATGTATAAGAGGCCGAGAATTAACTATGTTTTCCGCTTCAATTAGAAAACAGTTGAACGTGTACTCCCGTGACGAGGTCTCCTTTAACGTCTGTCGAAGAACTCTTTTAACGCAATGAACTTACCTTTCCCACGCTCCTCCTGCTGGATTGAATGGCGAATTAAATATTCACTCGACACCTCTCCTTGATAACTCGTCTTGTAAGCGAGCGCAGTCAAATACCTCGTTAAATCGCTTGGCCTCTTTATCAGCTCCCACAAAATTTGTCCCATTGTCAGAGAGTAGACGAACAGGTACACCACGGCGATTTATAAAATTGCGAATAACGATGATGCAGGAATCGGTGCTCAAATAGTGAGCCAACCCCAAGTGTACGGCTCTCACAGTCATACACGTAAATAGAGCGACCCACCTCTTCTCGGTACTGCGTCGATTGATAACGGTTACCGGGCCAAAATAATCCCGACCCGTATAACTAAACGGCCTTACGTACGGCGTAAGTCTGTCGACAGGCAATGGTCCCATCAGTGGTGCTTCCGGTTTGGCTTTGTTTAGGCGGCAAACTGTGCAACTTGCTATCACTCCGCGCAACAAGTGTCGTAATCGAGGGATCCAATATTTGCGACGAATTTCGCATATAGTTGCTTCTGAGTTCTGATGACACATTATACTATGGTAGTGCGCTGCGACGAGTCTTGTCTAATCGTGATTCGATGGTAATATGACGGGTCTTCTCGAACTTATCGGAAGCCAACTGGCATTATCTATGCGACCTTTTACGCGGAGAATGCCTTCCTCGTCTATATACGGCGAGAGCTGTAGAAGCGTGCTAGTGCGTGCGATGTTTTGATTGCTCTCAATCTGCTGGATCTCTGTAGCGAATGCTTCGCGTTGAACGAGTCGGCATAGTATTCCCTTGGCGAACTCTATTTCTCGTGCAGTCAGGCCGAAACATTGATCTTGCTGAATATTGCGGCGGCAAGTATTTATGAAACGTAAAACCCAGGCCGCGACTCTTGCTAATTTGTTGAAAGTAGAAAACCGTTTAAATTCAAATAAATTAAGGTTCACGATTACCAAAACGTGTTTAGGGCGAAGTTCTTCATCAGGCTCGTCGGTATTGCATACAGTAGGATCATCAGTAGGCCAAGTGTGCTGCGGTTGCTGTAGGAATGGTGGACCACGCGACCAACGGGCTGTTGGTCCAAGCTCCAGACGATTGTTCATTCGCGTGGCTTCGTCGGCAACGTTTAGTGCTGTAGGTAGCCACTTCCAACTTGAAACATTTGTGGCAGCCAATATCTCGGCCACTCTGTGTTGCACAAATGGTTTGTAGCGCCTATGCTCACTCCTTATCCACCGAATAACCGCAGTTGAGTCGCTCCACAGAATACAGCGTTCAAAGTCGACCGAGTGCTCATCGCGTATGCAACTCAATATGCGGGTTCCCAATACGCCCGCTTGGAGTTCAAGTCGAGGCACTGTTAGTGGCTTCATTGGAGCGCATTTAGATTTTGCGCTGATAAATGAAACTTCGATTTCGCCATTTACATTTTCAGCCCTCCAGTAAG